TCGACAGAACAAAGATTATCTAAGTCATACACTGGGCATGCATACTGAACTTTTACGTCATTGATTTTTTGTTTAATTGAATCAATATAAGCCTTATCTGTTAAAAGAGAATTATTAAATTTCCAAAATCCTTTACCTTTAATAAAGTCATTAATTTTCAAAGACATCACAACTGGAGAATGGTCGGATCTGTAACTGTTTTCATATTGAACAGTACTAACAGAAGGGAGCAAAGATTCAGATATAAGAAAAAAGTCTAGTCTAGCCTGTTTTAAGGGTGTCTTTTTTCTCCACGAATAGCGCCTAACTTGAGCGTAGTTTTCACGAAATATATCTTTTAGATTCAAATTTTCCATTAAACTTATAACTTCCAGTCTCGCTTTTGGATTGTTCAAATTTTTATAGTTCATGGAATCTAATTCCTTATCTAAAACTAAGTTAAAATCGCCTGCTATGATTATTTGTTGCAACATGTAGATTTTTTCAATCTCATTCATCAAATTAGAATAGAAAACTGGTGTATCAGAATTTGGCCCATAAATATTTACAAGTATAAAGTTCATACCCTCAATAGTACAGTCTATTATTATATAATTTCCATTTTCATCGCTTAAATGTTTGTGGATATCTATTTCGCAATTATTATTAAAAAGAATAGCAACACCACGCGAATTAGACTTATACGAACTGAAAAATGCCCGATAGCCCCACTGTGTTTGGATAAATTTTTCGTCACTTTTAACGAAGTGTGTGTCTTGCAGAAAATAAACATTATAGTTCTTTTTTCTTAAAGTATTAAAAACATCTAATCTTTTATTTTTATCTCCAAGACCCTGGCAGTTAACTGTAAGTATATTTAGATTATTATCTTTTACCGTAATCGTACAAAAACATCAATAAAGAATCGAATGAATGCCCAATGTAAAGGAAAGATAGGAAAAGGGGGATAGAAACGTGAAAGAGAGATAAGGGTGCATATTTACAAACAAGGTGAATGAAACTAATTGGCATCAGTCTATTGATCGTATTTACTGATGGAGAAAGGAAATTTGTCAATCTGCATTTACCATGTTTACAAAACTTCTGATAAGTAGTCCCAAAACAAGTACAATCGGAAATATAAATTGCTAAATAGTTTATGAGTCAGTCTTTGTAACTAATATTTTTCCGGAAAGAACTAGCCAAGTATAAAAATGTACTATTAGACCGTACATGTAATTGTACTTATGAGTTGGAAATTTTAACAAAAATTACTTTTGCATGTAACACAGTGACAGTGTTTATTGTAATTGTTCATCTATTAAAATTCTTAATAACAAGTGTGGCTGACGGCTTTGTTTACCAGATCCTTCATAATGTCAAACCGACGGGGACCTAAATGTTTACCATTCTTCCTCGAAATGACAATCGCTACGTTCGATACTTCTCTCTCAACCAGTACCTTAAGTAGTCGACGTCCGGCCCCGTATTCCCCATTGTCGCAATAGCCGTCATGCACTCGCCCTTGGGCATCTTTGAATCGGTATACAAGGATATTATGGTTGGCACAGGCATAGTCCGGGTTGCGTAGAATATTTTTGTAAACGTTCCTAGCATGTGCATATGTGTGAATTTCGGCGATTAATGAAGTAAAGATGTTCCCATCTTCTGTTACGCTTTCGCACTTCCTTACATCGCATTCATCCAGTTTTTCGATTTCGTCCTTGTCCAACATGAGTATATCCTCAGCCCGTGGTGGTAGCACCTTGTCCCGGTACACGCTTCCGTTTGGAAAGACTAACTTGTTTCCCACTATCTTTGTTTTGACGTTTTCTTCTCGATATTTATTGTTCATCTCCTGCAGTTTCTTTTTACTTTCATTTATTTGCAGAGGCGTCTGTGGAGTGATATAGAAGGGCATGTCCTTAGCGGTGCCATTTTCCTTCTTTTGACGAATAGCTTGGAAGATGAGTTCTTTATCATTGTAGTTCTGTAATTTCCCTGTTATTGTCCTTGGTTTCGGGTTGCCAGGGAATTTCTGACCGTTTCGGTGTATCCTGATGAAACCAACTTCCAAATTCAAATGTTCCTTGATCAACTCGCTAACTCTAGTGTTCAGATTTTCCTGGTCATCTTCAGCTAAGTTATGTACAAGAATATTGTCCCTCATCGATCTTCCTCTGAGGTCCACTATTTCATTCTCTTGCTGACTGACCCTTCTATCTAAGTTAACGACGATTGACTTTAAAACTTGGAGTTCTTTTCGCAAATAATTGTTTTCTAATTTCAGCGTCTCGATTTCTCCAACATTATCTTCATGTTGTTGACCGATGTATTTGATGCGCTCATCTAACCCATCCTCGTCCCATAGATCCCGATTCATATTATTTACTGATTGCTGTAGAACATTGATATTGTCCAGTTTACCGGTAATTGACCGCAAGCAATCATGAATAGCGGACATCTGCGGTGACGCTCCAGTGACTCCCGACGACAAGGCTGGGTTACACTGTGAATTGTTCTCATCCTTGCTATTTTGAGAGGCCATAATTTTTGAAGTTACAAACTTCTAAACACTCACCAATTTTTTCCAAATTTTCACAAAAGACACTCCAACTATATAGAAACACCTCTGCAAAGTTTTGGGAGCAACGACTAAACCATTAAATCACAGATCGACTTAATCCTCTCCTCAATTTACACCGTGACCACCCTAGCCATAGGTCACGTGATTACAGAAGACTTTTGACAATATCAACTTTGTTTGTAAGACTTATTATTTTAACTGTATTTTAAAAGAACTTGGTTTCAATTCTACGCCTTGAAAATAAACTTCACCTGCATACTGAGTATAGAGGGATTAAGTTTCCCAATTATTCGATACGCAAAATGCATGCTCTGCTTCTCTTTACGCCTAGTGTTGATCCAATCGTGCAAGAAAATTAGGACAGGAAAGAGAGAATGATTAAATCAAGACAATGAATAGTTAGAATGATCTAGAATGAGGAAAAAATAAGAATACGGAAGAACTCAATGTAAATTCCGACAAAAAGTTAATCATTTTGATTTTTCTTCATAATCTGACGTCCTTGTTCTTGTAATCTTTAGTGAAAATCAAGATGAAGGAAGTTTGTATTTAAAAATGGGAAAAAAAGATGATCCAAGAAAAGATACTAAAACACAGAAAACTGTTTCTGGAATACATAACATCTTCAAATCCGAGAAATACTTTAAAAACTGGTATAAGGTTGATTTTGGAAAGAAATCAAGATGGCGGAGATTAATGAAGAAAAAATTGTCCTAAAATCATTAAAAAGGGCAGTAATAGAAATACAGAGGAGGTAAAACCATAAATCTGTGAGGTTTTGATTCAATGAAAAAAGTAACATTCTACTCAAATGTTAGGAGAATACCTTGGTAATTATGTACTAATGTTCTTTTTTCAATCAAACACGATTTATTTTTCTGCTAGAATATAAATGTTTTTTTATATACTTTTTAAATATATATATCTACTTTTGCCAGTGTCTTCAAAGCTAAGTTCGGGCCTATAACCGCTCCAATCTGTCCGTCAGATTGCCATGCTGATAAGTTTTATTTCAAAAAGTATGTGTTCTACTCCTAAAGCACACTACTTCAAATTTCCTTAAAATCATTCTTCAAGTTCTTCAAAATACTAGTATGTGTCAAACCAATAATCTCTTAAGTTAGTATGGATACGTCAATGTTCCGTTTGGAGTATTGCTTTGATTTGGTTGAGTGTTTATTGGCAAGTTAAGATCTGTGGATACTGTTTAAAAGAACTCTCCCAAGTTATTTAATGCAAGTCTAAACAAGGTACCGGGTCTTGACGGCATTTAAGCAGAACATATGAGATATGGTGGTGTCACAGTTACGCACCAAGTCTGCAGACTTTTCAATAGTATCATGTAGGTCGGACGGATTCCTAAAGAATGGAAAAGGGGCATCGTAGTTCCTATTTACAAGGGGGATAACAAGGCAAACAACTCTCCGGGTAGCTATCGCTATCTCTCTACTGTGCCTCTACTGTTTGTTAAAACTTTTTCCAAAAATATTATATAATAGAATATCAGAAATTACTCTCAGTAAAATCAAAGTACAAAACCCTAAACAGCAGGGATTTTCAGAGAGATCTGAGCTGCATTACGGCTGGTTTTAATTTACAAGAAACAACTTGGCATTTCATATCCATGTTTATGGCATTTCTCATGGCACCTGATCCTACCTCTGATGTTGCGGAGGTTCGTGTTTGCTCTGCTCCTATTTTGTATTGTTTTATGGACATTGAAATTGAATACTGTTTGTTGTCTCCATATCTTTCATTTAATGTGCAATATTCATGTATTGTTGTTTTTGATCAGGGCAAGCCCACAAAACAGCAAGTTTGGAAATTAGGTGGTGAAAACCTTCCGTCGAGGGACAACATTTAGGAAACATCCAACATTGTCGATTTAAATCAAGTGGCCGAACTACAAATAGCCGCAACAAAGGTAGAAAAACATACTTTGCAATACGTAATGATCTCTCCAATAGTACCAACCCTTTAACCCTTGTAAGTGTATACAGGAAAGTTGTGTTTCCTACTGTTTTACATGGATGTGAGCTATGGAACGATTTAAAACAAACGGATTTACATCTCCTAAATAAATTTCAGCATTTAGTGATTTTGAGTTTAGAAATTTTTGAGATTAGAAGTTTTTCTACTATATCAGATATGTGCAAAAGTATGCTAGGGGTACTTCTCATTATCTCGGAATTAGACAAGCGAAAACTATTATTCTTTGGGAAAACTGTGTTAATTGACATTCTAAAAAAAGCATCTTCTTGGCAAGATTATACGACTTCTTACAGAACAACAGGAAACATTTTTCTGGTTTTATAAAGGACGTGTTCGAAATATTAATGAAACACAATATAATACAGTACCGGTATATTTCCCCAGAAAGGAACGTGGAAACTTATTGTTTTTTGGAAATTTGGAAATTTACCTTTTTGTTTGATGTTGATCCAGACATCAAATTTTTCTCCAAACTCTGGATTATCCCACCCTCATCTTCGGTACAAACCTGTAGTTTATGTTAATATATGTACAATAATCTCTTTAAAAACATGCTGTGTTGGCGTGCCTACTTTCTAGACCTATCAAAAAATGCTTTTTTTGAAAACATAATCGATAACTTTGACGTACACTTGTACGTAGAGCTCTCACAATCAAGCAATGATTTGTTATATTTATGTTACTAGAAGGGTTCGAACCAGCGTCTTTATCAGAAATAAATGACATGAAAGAATTTATTTGTACGAGGGCTGTTCAATAAATAATGTTCTGAACTGTATGACATACAATACAGATATCATATGACATAAAGCTTGACTTCCTCTCATTATTTAATCTTTACAATGTAACGGATTTATAACAGTTTATTTGACCATTTTTTATCACATAGTTTCATTGTGAGAAGCTGGAAAACAAGGGCTATTTGAGACACTGCATTATAAATGAATGGTAAAGAATCTGTGAACTAGAGTGAAAATAAAAGCTTCATTAAAGCTGCTGTAAAACTTATTAAAAATCCCCAAAAAATATTCAATGAAATATGTGAAATTTACAGCAGCCAATGCATGTTTTAGAGACAAATGAGCAGGTGGATTTCAATGATAAAAAATTGTGTAACGGGTATCAAAAATGGATACCGTCCTTGCCAACAAAAATTTTTGGCAACGTATGTACTGTTTGCAAAATTTAAACAAATAATATTTGATGATGTATGATTGACTTAAAACACATAGCAAATTCGATAGACATCATTTCGGGAGTAGTTTACACTGTTTTTAAGAAACGTTTGACGGTAAAAAAAGCTTAGCACTCAAAGATCACCCCGTATTTTGAAAATGAGTTTAAATGACAGCGTGTACGAATGTCTTTACAATCATTTTAAAATATCGGTAATTTTAGTTATCCATGTTTGTTTGAAATTCAAACAAATATGAAACTTGAATGAAGGATATGGAGATAACGAACAGTATTCAATCTCAAAGTCCATTGAACAATATACAAAATCAGAGCAGAGCAAACACGGACCTCCGAAACATCAGAGGTGGGATCAGGTGCCATGGAGGAGTGAGCATCCCCTGCCGACCGGTCACACCCGCCGTGTGCTCGTTGTCATGATCAGGAAATAACGGGGAAAAAATCCGTCGTCAATTCAGTGTATAAATAATGGACTAACAACTGGTATGAAAAACTTCCGTCGGCATTGCTTAAAACCCTCAAAACAAAATTTACCATACGATTTACTTAACAAAAACAAAGAAGGCCTGACAAGACCAAAGAATTGCAAAAGCACAAAGACAGATTTATATGCAATTTTCTTAAATATTAGTGGTATTGTTGTTAAAATTCGAACTCGGGAAGACGGTTTAATTTCTTGAGGAGTCTAGAAAGCAATTTTTTTTTTAAATCGAAAGGTTATTAGGGGAAGGACCAAGAATCAGGAATCCATGACATTAAATTTCTTCATGACAGCGTCCAAACCCGCACGCCCTGAAGACTGTAAAGGAGTTTTGGGAATAAACAGAAAGTTAAAGTTTTTTCACATTAACAATATTCGGCAGATATTTGATCTTTTTACTTGTTTCTATTTCCAAATTAAAAAAAAAATTCAGAAGAAAGAAACAAGTCCAGTAAATCATAGGATCTGCCATTTTCCAGTATACTATGGGTAATGCCCAAAAATTCTAAAAACAATCAGAAATAGGATTTTAACATGTTACGGACATGTTTTTTTTAATTAAAAGAGAATATTAAGTTAAATCATTAAGAATAAATCATTGCAAAGCGTCTTTTGCATCTTACCAAGCACCGAGGACATTATTTATTGAACAGCCCTCGTACATGTTCAAAATTTGTTTGTGGTGTCATTGCGTACGTTTCTCTGTGACATATCTTTATGTTATTTTCACCCGCCATATGTATTTTCTGTGATGTTTATTATGCTTTAAATATATAATTTGTATGTATCATAAAATCTTCTAAAAGAGGGAAATAAATATTGAACGCTATTCATCAGAAGAGGAGTTTTACCGAGCTCATTTATGCGCGTTTACGGTATTTTTTTTCCACACGATTGATATGCCTTCTTTTTCCCAGTTTTGGCTTGCATTGACGTAGTTAATATTCATAAATATAACGGTTTTTATTTAGGAATGTTTTTAATTATACAGGTTTAAAAATCCTTTGTAAATCGATATATATATATATATATATATATATATATATATATATATAAATATATATATAAAGCACAAAGAAATTCACTTTTACATGGATACCCACTTCCGCCCCAGCCCGGGGTTGAACTCTCGACCTTCGGACTCTGTCTCCTAGCAGTGCAGGAACAGCGCGCTAGGCCGCTCGGCTATCTAGGCAAGTCAAAAAACTTGCTTTCGATGCCGATGGAATTCTCGCGGCGCTGCCATACACTACACGGTCATTGAGAATAGAAGTGAGATACAGTTATTTGGACATTAGTTTTAACCGAGGATTGTTACCAATACATGTTGTAATGAAATTAATTATTATTTATAAAGCACATTTTACAACAACTCTTAAACTAACATAACTGCCCTAAGTGAAGAAATATTAATATAGAAAGCACAAAGAAATTCACTTTTACATGGATACCCACTTCCGCCCCAGCCCAGGGTTGAACTCTCGACCTTCGGAATTTGTTTCCTAGCAGTGCAGGAACAGCGCGCTAGACCGCTCGGCTATCTAGGCAAGTCAAAAAAACTTGCTTTCGATGCCGATGGAATTCTCGCGGCGCTGAATAGAAGTGAGATACAGTTATTTGGACATTAGTTTTAACCGAGGATTGTTACCAATCTCACTTCTATTCTCAATGACCGTGTAGTGTAGGGCAGCGCCGCGCCGCGAGAATTCCATCGGCATCGAAAGCAAGTTTTTTGACTTGCCTAGATAGCCGAGCGGTCTAGCGCGCTGTTCCTGCACTGCTAGGAGACAGATTCCGAAGGTCGTGAGTTCAACCCCGGGCTGGGGCGGAAGTGGGTATCCATGTAAAAGTGAATTTCTTTGTGCTTTCTATATTAATATTTCTTCACTTAGGGCAGCTATGTTAGTTTAAGAGTTGTTGTAAAATGTGCTTTATAAATAATAATTAATTTCATTACAACATGTATTGGTAACAATCCTCGGTTAAAACTAATGTCCAAATAACTGTATCTCACTTCTATTCTCAATGACCGTGTAGTGTAGGGCAGCGCCGCGAGAATTCCATCGGCATCGAAAGCAAGTTTTTTGACTTGCCTAGATAGCCGAGCGGTCTAGCGCGCTGTTCCTGCACTGCTAGGAGACAGATTCCGAAGGTCGAGAGTTCAACCCCGGGCTGGGGCAGAAGTGGGTATCCATGTAAAAGTGAATTTCTTTGTGCTTTCTATATCAATATTTCTTCACTTAGGGCAGTTATGTTAGTTTAAGAGTTGTTGTAAAATGTAATATATATATATATATATATATATATATATATATATATATATATATATATATATATATATGAATAATACATAATTTATTGGCATGATTCGCTTACTCAAGGGAAATGCCTGCATTTTTAGCACGATTAGTTTGACTTTTATTAAGTAAGTAATTATGTAAGTAAATAATTTATTATAAAAATATTTGATCCATTCATTTTATTTTTTTCCTATTCACAATGATTTTATTTTATAATGTTTCTGAAAAAGATCTCACAAAATGTTAGAACATACATTTTTCTATAAAATATTTAAATGCCAAATCATGCTAAAAAAGGTACTAAATTCACTTCATAAAAACATTAAAATTATCTAATTTTTACCTGAGAAACAAAGCCATCGAAGAGGATAGATATTACAAATAACCAGGTCCTCATCATTCTAATGTATTATTAAATTTATTCTCTGCTTAGCACACAAGGTACACTTCCTTGCTAAGACAAGAGTTCGTGCAGTTTTCACTTCATCCCCCTTTTTATATGCTTCATTTTTCGAGGAAATTCGTAGGAAATAAAATTGTCATTGAGAATGGAAGTGATATATCTACTTTATAAATAAAATTAATTTCATACATTCTGTATCGGTAGTGATCCCTAACAAAATTAATGTCTAAATTAGTGTATGGAGGATATAAAGATAACGAACAGCATTCAATTTCAAAGTCCAAAGAACAGTACAAAATAGGTGCAGAGCAAACACGGACCTCAAAAACATCAGGGGTTGGATCAGGTGCCATTGAGGATGAGCATCCCCTGCCGACCGGTCACACCCGCCGTGTGCTCCTTGTCATGAACGGGAAATAACGGGAAAATATGTCGTCAATTCAGTGTATAAATAATGGACTAACAATGAGTATGATAAACGTCAGTCAGCATTTGACTCAATGATAAATTATATTTGCTGACAAGGTCATTGTATCGACCATAGAAGTTACGAAATGATGACTTTAAACAAGACTGTTGATATTCTTTTTTCATCAAGTTGTTTATCAATAATTTACCTCGTTTTAGAAATTGTTCATACGTAATTTTCTTTTAAATTTATACTGTATTACTTGTAATTTTCTTTTTTTATGGCCGTAGGAAAGATGAAGATGAGCCCCCGACCTTTTGCCGAAATAATTATAATTATATGCTATAGAAAACATGGCTACTTTATGCCTGTGTCCCAAATGTCATGTAAACAAAACGTTTCGACAGGGACCTAAATATTACATATTACATCAGGGACCTTTATAGTATATAGGTGCCTGATTTCACTCACACCTTTCGCTTCGCCTGAAGGTATTTTGATTACCATGCGATGCTTTTATCACATTACATACCCTACATTACTTGAATAAAATAAAAATGTTACATTTATTAATTGAAAATTACACATTTTAAACATTCATCACTGACTCAGCAAATAGTCGCAGCTTATCAGTTTATTGTGGTTATTTCCCTTGCCCTACATGTAATTGGTTCAGGGAAGGGGGTTTTGTTTGCTTTTTGTTCGTTGGACTGATTATCTAACATCCCTATCGAGAATTTTTCACTCATATGGAGACACTATTTGACGGCGGACGGCTTCAAAGTTATACCTTTTTTAGACACTCAGTGTATAGTTATTTCATGCCCAAATTAAAGAAGTAATGGTTATGTCACAGGATCATTATTTACTATGTTTACTATGGTTTAATTTGCGCATGCGTCATTTCTTTCATTCATCCATTCATGGGTTGTAAGTTCATGACCTCTGATGTCATACGGTGAGTATGGAATGCGTATGGGTGTGTTTGACTGGTTTTTCTAGTCACTGCGCATGGCTGGCGCGAATTTTATTAACCCTTGCATGAAATAATATTTTTATTCACATCGTATGAAAACCCTCGCAGAGACAGACGTTACGGGTGACTTACATCAATGTAACCTATCCTAAATAAATAGGAATGTATAAATTCTGTCTACATGGTAAGTTATTTTAATTAAACTATTTTATAACCAGTAAATTAAATTATGAATTAAATAATGATATAAATCTCAGTTAAAATATTTAATGTGTGAATGAACGGTACGTAAGGTATTCATATTTATTGTAGACCACCATTGATGATATATACCATATTGCTATTATTCCACTTGAAGTGAAGAATCGTAATTAAAATATAATTGAACAATTTATCTGAGCTGTTTGTGTTTTGGAGAAATACGAATTCACGTATTGTGACTTTAATAAGAAAAGTTACGCCCTATGACAATGGCGCCCAACGATTGGGTCTCCGGCGCAAACGTTCCTAATAAATAATTCTTCGAGGGATGATCCTTGGTGGTTATTGTGAAAGAAGAGTTTTCTGTGTTTTAAAATTCCGTTGATTCATTTGCTTATTGTGTGATTCCATTCACGGGCCTGAGAGTGCACTACTATACTTGTAAAACCAGTTTACTACGCTTCAACGAAATTACCGTTAGCTAGAGCGGAGAAAACCAGTTTCCCCGGGAACATTTTCTTTACTACTGTACTTCCGGATGTGTGACGTCATAACCAAGATGGATGCGCCCATGAATCCTGGACATTTGTCGACTTGTGCACAACTTTGAGATCTCAAACGCGCTTCGCGGACATTTATGAGATAAACAATCCGTGTGAATTTAGAAACTGTTTCATATTTTCATTTTGAATTGTTGTATTTTGTTGTCAATTCCATTTTGTTTTCATTTATCATGTTTCATGTACGAAAGTTTGTTGCAGTTGCATGAGTACAGGTAAAATCGCGTAAACTTTATTTTCTAAAAGTATTTTCAAAGTTTATATAAACACATTGACCTGAAGACATTTGAAATTAACTGTGAGTTATTTAACAATCCTTCACTGCATGTAGTTATTCAGTTTGACTAACATTAACAGCTACAGCGCCGCAGAGAAAATTCGGAAGAGAGTAAGTAAGTCAGTTGTTTTGGGAATTCAGGTCAGTTTCATTTTCATTTCCATATCATATCATTTCATATTGCATATCTAGCGCATAGCGGTTTTTACAATTTTAAGGCAATTTATTTCAAGGAGATATTATTCAGTCTAAATATATCATAATATTACATACATGTAACAGAGTAGACTAGTACTATAGTATATAGTCAGTACTTGCAATCTGAATTGCTAAGTTTATAACAGTTTTGCTCTTAGTATAAGTAGTCAGTGTGTCAAGAGTTGATACTATGATTTAGCAGATTTTTGACTGATTGATATTGACTTTATTTTGAAAGATATTTAGGTGTTTGGATACCATAGATATCGTAATCCCATTCCGCACCTCGAATATGGCTCGACTGTGTTGAACGTTCGGAAATTTATGCGAAATCAAAGAACGGTTTTCCAGGAAAAACACGGTGAGTAGTTCATGTTTTGTTGTTTTAGAAAATCTTTTAGTTTACATATATCAGAAATTCTAATTCTGAGTGTGGTTATTTTCACCATGGCTACCGGTGAGGGTAAAACACCTGAAAACCATTTAGATAAGGAAGAAGAAAATGCTGATGACATTCTTGAACACATTGAAAAGGTGAATCAAAATCCTAATTATAGGGTAGTGACAATGGAAGAGTACAATTTACTTAAAGCTAGTACTCCTAAAGCAGGTCCTGATAAAGTTACGGGAAAAAAATTTACCTTCAGTACCCCAACGGGTCAGTTTGGGCCTAGAATGAAAGCTTTTTATGATGCTGTGCATAAGACTAAGCCTAAGACTGAATTTTTAAGCCCACTCCCTGAAACTCCAAATCCAGGTAATCCCAATGTTTCACTTATTACCAGTCAATTGAGTGTTCCCAAATTACCTGTTTTCAGTGGGACAGATGAACCCCAGAAAGGTGAAGTAAAATATGAGGTCTGGAGTTTTGAGGTGAAGTGTTTAAGAAAGAGTGGACAATATTCAGAACATGTGTTGTTAGAAGCAGAAGTGACAGAGAGTCAAGAAGACATGAAGAAGGAACTTAGAGTCTTGATTTCAAAGATGGAAAGGTTAGAACGTAGCATTAACTCTCAGTCATCCAGTTATCAAGATATGTCTAGGAGATTGAGTAACTTAGAGACTCAACAAAATAGAAACACTTCTTCTAACAGTCCACTTAGTCAATACAAAGAAAACAGAGGTTTTAGTAGAGGTAGAGGCTTTAGTAGAGGTTATGGTAGAAATTTTAGAGGCAATTTTAGAGGTCAGTCTTACCAAAAGCATCAAGGTCAAGGTGAGTATAGTAAGAAGGGAGAGAATGACCCAAAAGGGTTACCTCTTCCGTTATAGGGCAAACTGAGGAGGTCAAAGGTCATAGCCCTGAAACTGAAAAATTGATCACTAGAATGGTTGGACATGTTAACCAATGTAAGGTAAAGTTATGTGACAGAGAAACAGATGCATTGGTAGACACAGGTTCAATGATAACTTGTATGTCAAAACAATTTTATGATTCTCTAGAACCAAAGCCCGAGCTTAGGAAATTGGAAGATTTTCAGTTAGATGTTTATGGTGCAGGTGGGCACTCACTTCCTTTTTCTGGGTATATTGAGGGTGAGTTAGAAATTCCATTCTTGAGTCAGAAGACAATTTTTGCCCCTATATTGGTGAGTCAGTCATCAGATAGAAAGGGTGGTTCTGAGTTTCCTTTAATCATTGGCACCAATGTTATCAGAAATTGTAAAGAGATTTTTGGTCAGATGGAAAATGTTTCAGAAATACCTGAAGTTTGGAACTTAGCATTCAAAGGTATGTGTGACACTGCTTTGAAGGTAAAAACAACAAACCATTTTCCAATTAGCTTAGGTCCAAAAGAGGTCAAGATGATAACAGGGTTAGTCAGAAAATCTTATGACTTAGAAACTGCTATGACTGAACAGTCAGATACATCTCAGCCAGGGAGCTTAGTTATTTGTCCTAGAGTTGTTAACCTTAAATCTAAGGTAGGTAGCACATCTAGAGTACCAGTAAGAGTTTGTAATTTGTCAGCACAGACTATTAAGATCTTACCTAAATCTGTTATTTGTTCAGTTAGTCCTGTCAAGGTAGTCGATTCATGGAAACCTGAGTCCGAGTTTGAGTCTTCAGAAATCAAGGGAGGTAACTCAGATATTTTCATTGAGACTTTAGGTGCTAAGATAAACAAACAAAATCTTACAGGTGAGGAAATGACAAAGACAGCAGAGCTGTTGAATAAATGGAAACATATTTTCTCGACATCATTTACAGATATAGGTAAAACAGATTTGGTTAAGCATGAGATCAAGCTTACTGACAATATTCCTTTCAAAGAGCCCTACAGAAGAATTTCACCTGGGATGTACCAAGAGGTAAGACAACATTTGAAGGAAATGCTTGAAGCAGGTGCTATACGTAAATCACAAAGCCCTTACTCTTCAAATGTAGTGTTAGTTAAGAAATCTGATGGGTCATTAAGATTCTGTATTGATCTTAGAAAACTTAACAACAAAACCATAAAAGATGCTTATACCTTGCCTAGAGTTGACGAGACAATTGATACTTTGATTGGGAGTAAATACTTTACAAAACTCGATTTAAGATCAGGATACTGGCAAGTCGAGATTAAGGAAGAGGATAAGCATAAAACAGCTTTTTCGTTGGGACCTTTGGGGTTTTATGAATGCAATCGGATGGCATTTGGCCTAACCAATGCCCCGGCCACTTTCCAACGTTTAATGGAAACCTGTATGGGTGATTCACATTTGAGGGAATGTCTCATATTTTTAGATGACATTTTAGTGTTTTCTCAGTCTTTTGATGAACATCTTAAAAGATTAGAGGCAGTTTTTGAGAAACTTGACAAACATCACTTAAAGTTAAAACCATCCAAGTGTGAATTCTTCATGAGTGAAGTTAAGTACTTAGGTCACATTGTTTCGAAGGACGGTATCAAAACCGACCCAGATAAGATTGAAGCACTTAAGTCATGGCCAGTACCAAAGAATATTAAAGAATTACGCTCATTTTTAGGTTTTACCGGGTATTACCGGCGCTTTATCAGAGACTATGCCAGAGTCGTTCAACCGCTGAATGAGTTACTGGTAGGACACCCAACAGCAAAGGGAAAGAACCAAGGAAACAGAAAGAAAGTACCATGGTTATGGGGTAAGGAACAACAATTTGCTTTCGAGACACTTATCAGTAAGTTGACCAATCCCCCTATTCTCGGCTATGCAGATTTTTCTAAACCATTCATCTTGAATATTGATGCCTCCACTGAGGGCTTAGGAGCTGTTCTCTATCAGAACCAGAATGGTTTAGAACGTGTAATTGCATATGGCAGTCGTGGTTTAAGAAAAAGTGAAAAGTTGTATCCAGCACATAAACTTGAGTTTTTGTGTTTAAAGTGGGCAGTAGTCGACAAGTTTAAAGACTATTTATACAACAATTCTTTTGAAGTTAGAACGGATAATAATCCGTTGACCTATGTCACAACTTCAGCGAAACTCGATGCCACAGGTCATCGTTGGCTTGCAGCTTTGAGCAATTACAATTTCAAGATATATTACAGATCTGGGAAATTAAATCAAGATGCAGAT